CCCCAAAACCCCAAAACCCCAAAACCCCAAAACCCCGCATGAAGTCAGAGAGTTGAAAGATCAAATCTAAAATATTATTTATAAAAATGAGAAACATCTTTTTTAAATTAGTTATTCTTTCTCTCATCTTAAGCTTGGTCGCCTCAAAGCATGAGACTCTCAGCAAGTTCAGGAAAGACCCTGACCTGAACATGAACAAGCTCCAGAAGAAGGCTGATAAGAATCTTAGGATGGCCTTGGTTATGTTGAAATCCGTCCGCCTGATCATGGAAGGGCTCCAAGGCTATAGTCTTCCAATCCAAGAAATGCTTTCTTTCTCTAACTTGGTGATCGATATTGTATTGAAGGCTTTCAGACGTGATAATCTTAGTTTAATAACCCCCTCACTCATCATGCAGAAATTGTTCTATGAATTCAGAAATTTTGCTAGGGAAGTTATAACAGAGTCGGATTACGGTTATTATACCCTTTTCTTCTTGTATGCAAGAAAGGAATTGGGAGCTATTAGCAAGATCATTCAAACAAAGGGCTTCGATGAATTCACACAAAACTCAAATTGCACTCGCATGAGGATTGCACAATACTTTATGCCTACCTTTGTGGGAAATAATACTTCTAATTGATCTCAATTCGATGACATTATCATCAGTTTTTCTGAACAGCCGATTGATCCTGTCATAAATTTTACACCTTTGGTTATGAAACTGGCCATTCTCTTAATTCTCTTAGTATCAATTTATATTGCCTTCAACCGACTCCGTAAAGAATGGGAGACATATAAATCCCATAGAAATTCACTCCACACACTGTCAAGTGCAGAGCTTAGCCTAAAGCCAACTAGGCTCCCAGAAGCGAAGATGATATCTTTAAATATCCCAGAGATTTTGGAAGAGTCTCAAGAATCTTCGAGTTCCCCTTCAATTCTCCAATAAAAACCAGAATTCTCTATTCTTCCACTTCAGTCAAAGATGAGGTCTGTCTTAGTTGCTCCTAGACATCAGAAGAAATGCTAAAACTGGTATTTAAATTTTATTTCCCTCAATGAAAGATATTTATGCTGGGGTTTTGGGGTTTTGGGGTTTTGGGG